AAAAAAAAAAAAAAAAAAAAAGTCAACCCCGGAAGACAATTCTTGGCAGATAGCGGTGAAAAGAAGTTAGGAGCACCTCGCGTTTTTTTTTTCTCTCTCTCTCTTTTTTTTTTCTTGTCTTCCTTCCTCTTCAAGTCTTACTTTTTTGGATCGTGTTTTGGGGTTGTTCACTGGAGTTGAACGTGATCCAGAAGAGGCTGAGTTTTCGGCACTGGGTTGGTCTCCGCCTTCACTTTCACTGTCTGACTGACTGCCGCCCTCCGGCTCACAGCCACCGCCGTCAAGCTGCACGCAACCTGCACGACGCCGCGTCCGGTACGACTTTTCAAAATAAAGTACATTAAAGATTAAACGCTGTGTGCAGCGAAAAAATCTCATAAATTATATCGCACAAGATATGTTTTTTTTTTAAATCCCAAAGGATATTCTTGTGCCAGATATTGCTCAAAATTACATAAGAATAAATGCAGCGCCTATAAGAAAGATGTGACGCATAAACAAAATAATAAATTAAAAATTGAAATAAATTAAAAGGGCTCGTACAGAACAGTAGTACTGGAAATGACTTTAAGGTAGTAAAATGCAATCAAATAATACAATTAAAATACTATCCATGATACAGAAACTGATTTTGCACAATGAACGGTTTGGAAAATTAATACACATATACATAATACACATAATAAAGAAATATTTCAAATAACATTGAAGTGTTACATCGGATAACACAATATTGCACATGAAAATGAAAGTTTTACACATGATACGTAAACTAATATTGCAAAAACTACGGAGAAAAGTATTATAATATCACTCATAATAGAGGAATACTGCAAATTACATTAAAATACTACACATATTAACACAATATTGTGCATGAAGTTAAGGTATTGCACCTGAAAGATTGCATATTGAACATTACGTTGACACATTGCACCTGAAAATAAGATTTTACACGATACTAAAGCTGATATTGCACAAACTGTTCATGCATGTGTTCTTCCAGATGTTATTTCTGTCTCTACGTTGCGTCAGTGTGTTCCTTCTGCTGTTTGAGATGAGACGGTGTGATTTAGGTCTGAGGTCAGAGTTCACGCTTCTCTTCCTGACCGTGTAGCCGCTCAAACAGTCCCATGTTGAGGTTACGGGGTCTCCATGATCCTGTTTGTCTGGACTCTGCTCCTCCTTGTGCATCCTGTGCAGGACTCGAGTCATGTTCCAAGTCATTCCAGGGTAGAGAGTCTTCAGGACCTTCAGTGAGGCTCTCAATTTCCTCAGTCGCTGGAGGCGACATAGATGCTCATGTGTGGTCCGTAACAGATCTGCAGAAATGATAACTCCCAGGTGCTTAAAGCTGCACAGCCTCTCCACAAGCGAATATTAATGTAGCTTCCTATTGAGTCCAAACATGTCGACTCATACTCAACAAAAAATGTGCAAACTGTACTTTTTTTTCCACCAGATGTGAACAGGAGCTGATGTTCAGTTTGTTGCTTCTGGGAGTTTTTCTTCTGATTTAATTAAAAGCTTGAAGCATCCAACAGCAGCAGGATGAATATGAGCGAGGGATTTGTGGATGTAGAACAGCACAACAACAATACCAGTAACTTCATGAAGAGTTTAGCTTTATTGATGAAGTGGGTCTTAACTGTCCAAAAAATGTTTAAAAAAATCTCAGCTTTCCATACAAAACATCCATTTTAAAGCAAGGCTACTGTGTTTTTATTCTTACTTTTATTTTTTTTTTAAGCTACATTATCACATATGTCACAGTGTTATTGTTACAAATCACTACCTGAATCCCTATCACACAAAACATGTCACTCTTTAACCTCCCAAGGTGACAAACCGCCTTTTATTGTGGAAGCGACACCTTCCACTTCCCGGACATCCTCTCGCTCTTCCTCTGCAGCTTGACGCAGCTCAGTTTTGTAATAGCCTCTGCATTCTCGCCTCTCATTGGCCAGCAGCGGCGGCCCCGGGACTGTGCACCCTGGGCCCCTCACGTCCGCTCTCTGACGTGCTGTTTGGGGGCTTGACCGAGCCGGTGCTGGACGGTCAGCCCGCATAGCGATGAAGTGGTGACGGAAAACACGACGCTACGGCAAGGACTGCTCCATAACTCATCATCATCATTATTATTATTATTATTATTATTATTATTATTATTATTATGAAGTGTTGTAGCTGACAGCATGCTCATGTTTCCACCACGTGCACTGCGATTAGCTTTCCCCATAAAATATAATGATTTTCTAGTTACCAGTTTTAAAATCACAAATTGTCCTGGTTTGTTAACATAGAAGACAAATGCTAAAGTCAAGGTGAAGGAAAAATTATCTCCTCAATTATATTAAGTTGCCTCAACTTGAATTTATCGCAAATTCTACCAACTCAGAAATTTGAGTTGGGCTTACACATGATATTAAGTTGATGCAATTACACAGAAGGTCTCAACTCAACACAACTCAACAAAATGTTTGCTAAATCAGTGATTGATTGATTCATTGATTTTTGCAATCAGACATGTAATAAATTGGTGGCGAAAGGTCCCAACAAACTACCATTAGTTTTAGGAATTAACTTTTCCTCGAATATAAAATGTATTTTTAGTTTTAAAAGTCACAAATTGTCCCGGTGTGTCAGCATAGAAGACAATTTCTCAACTCAAGGTGAAGAAAAATTATCTAATTAATTATATTAATTTGCCTCAACTTGAATTTATCGCAAATTCAACCAACTCTGAAATTTGAGTTGAAGCTACACATGATATTAAGTTGATGCAGTTACTCACATTGATACGTCAATGCAGCTCATCGAAGTGTTTGCGACTTGTAAGGTTTATTTAAATCAGTTATTGATTGATTGATTGGTTTTTGCAACCGTAGATGTAATAAGCTGGTGGAAACAGGTCCCGACAAACTACAGTGAGCTATGAAGCTATGAGATAAAACTGATTTTTAGTTTTAAAAGTTTCAAATCATCCCGGTATGTTAACATAGAAGACAAATTCTCAACTCAAGGTGAGGAAAAATGATGCCCTCAAGCTTGTTTTATTACCTAACCTCAACTTCAGTTTACTTTGAATTCTACCAATGCATAAATCT